CCCAGCTCCCTGCTGATTGAAGACTCTCTTGCTTTGTCTCTGTGAAAGCCACCTCCCTCTCCCCCTGGCTCTCCCCTTGACCTTGCCCCGTCCACCCCTGGCCTCTGCCCCACTCCTAATGCACTCTAGAGCCGGCCTGGGGAGGCCTCAGCTCACCCTCTCCAGGGCCAAGCCTGGTCAGGAAAGGGACCGAAAGGGCATCGGGGCAGGAACAGCACTTGATGTTTCCAGTCCCCGCAGCACTGAGTGCCTCTAACCCACCTCCCCTTAGTCTAGCCGGGGGGCCCAGGCCAGGAACTCACCTTGTAGGCCTTTGGTGGCAAAGTGCAGGTCGATGGGATGGGACCAGTAAGCCATGTCCCCTATCTGGGGGGTGTCCACCTGTGTTTGGCCCTCCCGCACGCCTGACAGGAGCTTCCATGCAGCCCCTGCAGTGAGAGCCAGGACACGGATGAGGCAGGGCGGGGTGGGAGGCAGCCATCAGGAAGGGGATCAGGAGGGGGATCCCACTGTGGCTATAGGACCCCATTTCTCCCTGGCATTGGGGAGCGGAGGGTTGCAAAGCATGGACCCTGGAGCCAAATGTCTGGGTTCAAATCCTGGCACTATTTCTTCCTGCCCATGCAACCTTGGGCCAGTTACCTTTCTCTGCCTCCGTCTTCCCATCTGTAAGGTGGGTGTAATAATAATGCATTCCTCCCAGGCTTGTGAGAAGATTAAATGAGTTAATACACACGAGGCACTGAGAACAGTGTCTGGGGCATAGTGAGTGCCGGATGAGTGCTGGGGATCATTTTACTACTATTCTCACCCCACGTTTAGAGGCCTAGTCCAAGGACTAAGATGGAGCCGAGGCAGTCCTTCACAAGCAGAAGCACAGAGCAAATCGTGAACGGTGCGTCGTAATAGCAATCCTACTGAGGGTGATAATAATAGCAAAAATGCACCGACCGCTTACTAAATGCCAGACGCTGCGCTAAGCGCTTTAGTAATGAATTCATTTAATCCACACTCTGGGGCTCTTAATCCCCACCCCAGCCCCAGTTTACAGACTCTCCTCCACAGGAGGAGTCTGCAAGGCCTTACATGGCCTGGCCTGTGCCCCCCCAACCCCTTCCTGAACTCATCTCCCATCACTTTCCCCATTCCTCACCACCCTCTAGCCTCAATGGTCCTCTTTCTTTCCCCTCCTCAGGGCCTTTGCACTGGCTGTTCCCTCTGCCTAGAAAACTCTGCTCCTGGATGTCCCTATGCCTGGCTTTTTTTCATCCTTCAGGGATCAGCTCAAGTTCCACTTTCACAGAGGTGTTCTCCCTCACCCTCCTATCCCGAAACTAACCAGTCCCTCTCACATCATCTCTCATCTCATTTCTTCCTGGTACCTAGTACACTATCTGTAATCATT